CCTCGTTATCACTGACAGCCTCGTATTCCCTCGCCTGGGGCTGTGCTCAGTTAGAGGCTTTACTAACTAGTTTTATGGGGGGGGGGGTCAGGCAGCATTATTGCCTAATTATTCCAGAACCGAGTTGGGGTATGTGTGTTGGAGCATTTAAGTCTGCCTTCCAGTATGTTATAACTTGTGATCAGTGTACATTCATTTTTGTACCCTCGAAAATATGAGGGGGGTGTTCTGTAAGTTGTCCTTTATAATTACAAAATGTACTACTTTACGAACATTGTACAAAAATAACTCCAGCATCCTTTTAATAGTGATCACTGTCACTATGATTGTATGAAAGATATACAGAGGACAGGGTCTGCTGTTTAGATTGCAATTAAAATGGGGTTACTCGATGCTTCCTTCTAAATCTACTGTGTCTTGGACAGTTAAATTATGGTTTACAGGATCTTGCCAATGATGCTTCCTTCTAAATCTGACGGTGTCTTGGGCAGTTAAATTATGGTTTACAGGATCTTGCCAATATTCTGGCACTAAAAGGGATAGGCTCATACTAGAATTTCAGAACAATACAACATAAAATGAGTAGTAGTTTTTATTTAAATGCCAGTTAGTTTTTCATTGCATTTAAGGTGTAGATAGTTATCTTATCTTGAAATCTGAGGAATGGTGTCATGCTATGTTAAAACAAAAACAATTACAAGCTTTTTTGTAACTTGGATGTTTAGACATGAGTTACTTTAAGCTTTCTACTATTCAAAAGATTATGAACCAAAAACCTTATATTTAGTTAAAGCTCCAGTTCATTATTTGTGTTAAATGCATTACTTCATATACCTTAACTGTTACAGAAAAAGTCACTGGAGTCTATAAACTCAAGGCTTCAGCTGGTTATGAAAAGCGGTAAATATGTACTAGGATACAAACAGACTCTGAAAATGATCCGGCAGGGCAAAGCCAAGCTGGTTATCTTAGCCAACAACTGTCCTGCTTTGAGGTAAGTATAATTCTATTGAAAATTTTAATTCCTGTAAAAGTGTTTCTAAATTATGCTGCCTGTCTTCGATACAGCAAAGGAAGCTTATTAATATTTGTTGCATTTAGCATGACAGAAATAACGTTAAGGGTATAGCAAAGGGTCTGTTTACACTATTTTGAGCACACATGCATAATAACTTTTAGTCCATGTATACAATTTGGCGGAAAGTAAGTTTTAATGGTGATACTGGTTTTGAAATATTTGCAGAATATTATACTAAGTGTGATTGCTGGAGGGAGTGAGTGGTGGTTGACACAACTTGCAGCTCAGAGGCCAGATGAAAGGCAGGCTAGGTGTGTGAAAGAACTGGATACAATTCGCTTTAGTGCCTCTGTCACGAATGGGGGTCTTAGCGTTTATTTTAGTAATCGTGTAGCCACAACAATTTTTAGTGATTGCAGTTTTAAAATACTCCCTAAGGGTGGGGCTGACACCATTGTGCTCCTGGCCCTGCTATTGGAGAGCTCCCTGCCACCCTGTGGTGCTGCCTTTATCAGAGGCAGCAGTGTGGGGTAGCTAGCGGATCCAGTCTGAGGGGAGCTGGTTTAAAAAATGGACCCCTGCACAGACCAGCTCCCCCCTACTGCCCAGTACTTTTGTCTCTGATAAAGAGGCTGAACAGTATGGGGTAGCAGCAGCCACTAGTCTTGGGATCCCTGGGCTTGCTGTGGACAGATTGCTCAGGTATTTTGCCTGCTTCTCCTCTTCTCTCAGGATGCTGCTTGTGATTTAGAGGCAGCAGCAATGGGGGAGGAGGGCAGGTGGCTCTGCAGAACCGCTGCTCTGAAAGAGGCAGTGGGGGGACAGGCAGCTCTGTGGAAACTGGCGTTTGCAGAGAATCAGCTTAAGCTAGTTTGCCACAGGCACCCTTGCCTTCCCCATGGCCCCACAGGCAGCAAGGTGTTTATGTAGTTCTTACGACTAACTGATAATCCCAGGCTTATCGGTTAATTGTTTAAATGTCCAGGGTTCACTGAGTGGCAGCGAGTCCCGCTCGCCACCTGCGTGGTTCTGTGCTCTGCGCATGTGCAGATCGCTCTGCACCGGCTCTTCCAGGGTGTAATCTAGTCGCCACAGGCGAGTAAATTACATTGTTTGTTGAGCCCTGTAAATGTCTATGCGCTAACATCACTAGTCACCAACAGAAGCTCAGATTTCTGTTTCCCAGTCTGTTCAGCATCTGACCACCTGCCTTCCCCAACCCTCATCAGCTACAGGTTCCAGTGACCAATGTGTCAAGGGGCCCTGCTCAGCTCCCACTCCCTGTCAGCAGTCTATATTTGCATCTCCTGTTGGCCCTTCTTCCCCTCTACTAAGGGGCCTCGCTGCTATTTGAACAGCCCCTTGGGCCCTCTGGAAAAGACATCACTAACTATAGCTGCCAGACCCCAATCTTGACAAACCGAATTGGCCTTGTATCTCAGAACTGTGATTAGGAAGTGGGAGTCCCCCTGAGGAGACATGGTGACCACCCCCAATACACCTAAACTGGAGGAATAAAATAAAGTTCTCTGCTCCATCTAAAACTTTGGAAGTGTGATTAGGTTTCAAACTAGTCTGATGTTCCATTGAAGGATTCATTTGATGGGAATGAGTGAGTGTACCACTTTCTGATATGTAGTTTTTAATTCTCAGAAAATCAGAGATTGAGTACTATGCTATGTTGGCGAAGACTGGTGTGCACCACTACAGTGGCAACAATATTGAATTGGGTACAGCATGTGGAAAATACTACAGAGTGTGCACACTGGCTATCATTGATCCAGGTATGTGTATCTTGCAACTTTGACAACATACTAATCTACGGTCCCCACCCTGACACTCTTGCTCCTTTTGCTTATTTAAGACTCAATCACCAAAAAAACATTAACTGGATTTGCTATTCTGTTTAATCCTGGGTCATTTTTAAATAGGATTACCACTGACTAACGTATTCTAAAGATCCACAATTCCAAAGGCTTTGGATTTGAATAGGGCAAGTAGAATAAGAGTCCCTGAAAATCCTACCAGTTTGTGCTTTATTTTGTTTTGAGTGGTTAATTCAAAGATCAATGACCTGGACAGCATTGCCAGGACACAACTCTTTTTTTTTTTTTTTTTTTTTTAAAGTATAATTCATATGCTTGACACTGCATGTTTTCTTTCTTGGGCTTGCTTTACCTCAGCAATCTATTTTCCCCCATTAAAGTGGATCTTTACAATAATTTGCAGTGGATGGTAATCCTGTTTAGAAATGGCCAATTAATGTAGCTCAGATACAATCTCTAATCCAGTTTTTCTTTTTGGACATACAAGCTTGAAAGTGAACATGATTGCTAATACTCTAACCTTTCTCATTTAAAGTGATTGTCAGCAGTGAGCAAAAAATAATTATTGTCTCTTGAAATCTGTGGGCTTAAAGCATAGGGAACTTCAGGGCCCACAGCCAAATTGGCCCGTGGCTTGCCCGGATCCAGCTTCTGAGACTCAGGGCTTCCCCCGCTCCCAGAATTGGGGTAGCTGTGCTTGTGCTTTAGCCTCCCCACCACACTGCAGGTCTGGAGCACTCCATCTACTAGGCTGCCCCTTC